TGCCATGTCGTTCCTTGCAGTCATTTTTGGCGTTGTGCAGCCGTGTTGCCTCTACTGTGTTGCCTGGTTTTCCACAAGGTTGCTGCCTGCTGCTATGTTCCGCTGGGGGACAGTCTGCCTTCAATAAGGGTCAAAGGGTTCATGACCCAAACCATCAAATACGGAGATTCCGCAGATTGTCAAGGGTTCAGTTTCCTGATGAGACGAAACAATCTATCATCATGGTCTTTTTTTCTTTTTTTCGGTTGTTTGTTGTTTGGAACTTGTATTTTTTTTCCTGCTTGTTGGTTGTTGCTTTGCGCTTGTTTGGTGTGCCTATGTATGGTCTGCCCTCCCGCCTCCCTCGTGCCCTCCAGCTGTTGTAGCTTTAGTATCTATGTTGTGGGCACTCGGCGTCTTTTGCTTGTAAGTGCACTTTCTTCAAAGCGTTGGAACGCATCTTAGGGAGGTCATGTTGAGTCTAGTCTCTGGGGAAAACCATGCCTTCGTGTGAAGTTGACAACTGGGTATACAATATACTTAAAGATCACACACACACCTTATTCGCACACGCACGCTAGTGTACGACACTCTACTCTATGACAATCTACGACACTCTACGACACTATACTATACATACACTACCCTACTTTACGACACTCTACTCTCCTCTACTCTATGACACTCCACGACAATTTACTCTACTCTACGACACTGTACTCAATGACACTCTACTCAACGACACTCTACTCAATGACACTCTACTCTGCGACCACTTTACTCTACTCTATGACACTTTACGACACTCCACTCTACTCTACTCTACTCTACTCTACTCTACTCTACTCTACTCGACTCTACTCGACTGTACTCGACTCTACTCGACTCTACTCTACTCTACGACATTGTACTCTACTCTTCGACACTCTACTCGAATCTACTCTACTATACTTTACTCTACTCTACGACACTCTACTCGACTCTACTCTACTCTACTCTACTCTACGACACTCGACTCTTCTATACTCTACTCTACGACACTTTATGACACTCTACTCTACGGTATTCTACTCTACTCTACTCTATTGTACTCTACTCCACTCTACTCTACTCTTCTCTACCCACTCAACAATACTTTACTCTACACTACTACGCTCTACTCTACTCTAAGACACTCTACAACAATCTACTCTACAACACTCTACTCTACTCGATGACACTCTACTCTACTCTACTCTAAGACACAATTCGGCACTCTACGCTACTCTACTCTACTCTACGACACTCTACGACACTCTACGACACTCTACGACACTCTACTTTACTCTACTCTACGACACTTTATTCTTCTCTACTCTACGACATTCTACTCCACTCTATGATACGTTACGATACTGTACTCTACTCTACGACGATGTACTCTACTATACTCTGCAACACTTTATGGCACTCTACTCTACTTTACTCTACGACATTCTGCTCTACTCTAGGACACTATACTCTACTTTCCTCTACTCTACTCTTCTCTTCTCTACTTCATGACTCTCTACTCTGCTCTACACTACTCTACTCTACTTTACTCTACGACACTCTACTCCACTCTACCCCACTCTACGCCACTCTTTTGTACTCTATGACACGTTACGGCAGTCTACGACACTCTACAAAACTCTAGTCTACGACACTTTACGACACTCTATTCTACTCTACTCTACTCTACTCCATGACAATCTACTCTACTTTACGACGCTATACTCTACTCTACAACACTATACGACAATATACGACACGCTCCTCTCCTCTAATATATGACACTATACGACAATATACGACACAGTGCGTTACTCTACTCTACTCTACTCAACTCAACTCTACTCTACTCTACTCTACTCTACTCTACTCTACTCTACTGTACTCTACTGTACTGTACTGTACTGTACTGTACTGTACTGTACTCTACTCTACTATGCTCTACTCAACTCTACTCTACTCTACTCTATAACACTCTAGGACACTCTACGACACTCTACTCTACAATACTCTACTACACTCTACTCTACTCTAAGACACTCTACTCTAATCTATTCTAATCTACGACACTCTACTATACTACACTCTACTATACTACACTCTACACTACTCTAAGACACTCTACAACACTTTACTTTACGACACTCTACTCTACTCTACGACACTCTCCTCTACGACACTCTACTCTACTCTACGACAGTCTACTCTACTCTACAACACTCTATTCTACTTACGACACTGTAGGACACTCTACTCTATTCTATGACACTGTACTCTACTCTGCTCTACGACATCTACTTTACTCTACGACCTCAACTCTACTCTCCTCTACTTCACAACACTCTACTCTACTGTACTCTACTCTACTCAACGACACTTCACTCTAGTCTACTCTACGTCAGTTTACTCTACTTTACTCTACGATACTATACTCTACCCAACGACAATCTACTTTACTATACTCCGCGACACTTTCTGACACTCTACTCTACTCTACTATATTCTACTTCACTGTACTGTATTGTATTGTACTTTACTCTACTTTACTCTACTCTACTCTACTACTCTCTATTCTACTCTGCTCTACTCTACTCTACTCTACTCTACTCTACTCTACTCTACGACACTCTACGACACTCTACAACTTTACTCTACTCTACTCTACTCTACAACACTCTACTCTACTCTACGATACTCTACGACACTCTTTTGTACTTTATGACACTCTACAACACTCCTGAACAGTCTACAAAACTCTACTCTATTACACTCTACTATACTCTACTGCACGACACTCTACGACACTCTACGACACTCTACGACACTCTACTGTTTTCTACGACACTCTACTCTACTCTATGACACTCTACTCTACTCTACTCTACTCTACAACATAATTCGTCTCCACTCTACTCTACAACACAATTCTACTCCACGGCATTGTAGGACACTCTACTCTACTCTATGACATTGTACTCTACTCTACTCTACGACATTCTACCCTACTCTATGACACTCTAGGACAATCTACTCTATTCTTCACCATTGTACTCTACTCCACACTACTACACTCTACTCAGCTCAACGACACTCAACGAAATTGTACTTTACACTACTGCACCTTTACACTACTGCACTCTATAACACTCTACTCTACTCTACTCTACTCTACTCTACTTTGCAACACTCTACTTTACTCTGTGACACTCTACTCTACGACACTCTACGATACTCTACTCTACGACACTCTACTCTACGACTACTATACTCTATTCTACTCTATTCTATTCTATTCTACTCTACACTACTCTACTCTACTCTATGACACTCTACGACAATCTAGTCTACGACACTCTACAACATTCTACGTCACTCTACTCTACTGTACTCTACTCTACGCCACTCTTTTGTACTCTATGACACTCTACGACACTCTACGACACTTCGATCTACTCTACTCTACTGTACTCTACGACACTCTACGACACTCTACGACACTCTACGACACTCTACGACACTCTAGTTTACTCTACTCCACCCACTCTACTCTACTCTACTCTACTTTACTCTACTCTACTCTACTCTACTCTACTCTACTCTACTCTACTCTACTCTACTCTACTATAAGAAACTCTACAACACTCTATTCTATTGTACTCTACGACATTGTACTTCACTCTACTTCACTCTACTTCACTCTACTTCACTCTACTATACCCACTCTTCTCTACTCTACTCTACTGTACGCTACTACACTCTACTCTGCTCTAAGACATTCTACAACACTACTCTACTCGACGACACTCTACTCGACGACACTCTACTCTACTCTACTGTACGACACTCTACGAGACTCTAATCTACTCCTCTATACAAAAATCTACTCTACTCTACTTGTGACGGGGCTGAGGCAGAGCAGAGAGGTTGGGGAAGAGAGAGGGAGTTAGTGAGAGCACACACACACATGCACTCCACTGGACATGGACTCAACACGACTCGACGGACGCAGACACAAAGTGGCGAAGTGGCAAAGTGGCAAAGTCGCAAAGTCGCAATCTTGGTCCCGAATGCAATGTCACAGCAAGTCACACTGACGCACAAGCACTGAGGCCAAAACCTGAGTGCTCAAACTCAGCTTGAGTCCGGTCTTAAGTACCGGACTTAAGTTGAGTCCGAGGGCAGAAGTCCAATTTGCCTCAGGGTTGAACGAAAAATCAAAGGTTTGAGCCTGGGCGCCAAAATGCCGCATGCCACCAAGTATTGAAATCGGAAAGTGCTAGAGGCAAGATTTGAGAACGGGGGCCAACTACAGAGGGCGTCAACAGTCAGGAACCGGAGATCAGAGACTCAAAAAAAAATAAAAAAATAGCAGCCTGGCGGGTGGTAACCCGCGGACTAGGGATCGAGCCCTGGCTGAGTCCGTAACACTATCCCTTCCCATTGGAAGGCAACGTCCCGGCTGCCAAAGACCTAATGAAGAACTGTGAAGGACGGGACGGGGCCGATCACTGGTCAGAAAAGGAAAGGGGGAGTAATGCAAGTAGCACTGTAGCAGGGTAATCCTATGTGGGTTCTACAGGGATGAGGGAATCAATGTTCAAGTAATAGGGTAATCCTATCGAGGTTCTACAGGGGTGAGGGAATCAATGCTCAAGTAAACAGGGTAATCCTACTAAGGCTCTACAGGGATGAGGGAATTGTGCTCAAGTAATAGGGTAATCCTATTGAGGTTCTACAGGTAATAGAGCAGTTTTATTGGTGTTTTACAAGGTTGTAGGTTGTCAGGTTTGGGAATTAATAATAATAATAAAAAAATGTTTGTTCAATGCTCAAGTGTTGGGGTGAGGAGGTATGGGAAAACAATGTCTCAGGGCTGTAACAAAGTGTTAAAGGCGAAATATGTCTTAAGGAAGGTCTTAACAGGTGTCGCAAAAGTGACGGTGAGGAAGTGGTCCGCAACAGTTTTGTGATATAGATGGCGAGGGCTTCAGCTTGATTGTCCCAATAGCAGGTTGCATCCGGTACACGATCTGGTGACGAGGTCTGATCCGGATAGCAGGTCGCAGACTGACCTTGATGTCGATGTCAGAGGTGCTGCTCCAGAAGTCTGCGAGTCCAAGAGGTCGGGTCAAAGAGAACAACATGGTGGCCAACCAGCTGTCTTATCTCCTCGTACTGAGCTGCAACATGCCATCGTCCTCGTGCGCTTGCCATTAGATCCATTATCGTCGGCGACGCGCAGGAGCCACATAGAGAACTTGGGCAAGAGAGGCAAGGATATGGCGGAGGACAAATGGGAGAACAGGGCAAGGCGGAGGCAAGAGCGGATCAGACAGGGGGGAGGTTCAAGTGGCAAGGGCTTCGCTGGGTACAGGGGTGTGTGTAGAGTAAGAATGCGGGGTTTTGGCGGGGTCAAGGCGGGGTTTATGCAAGGGTTTAGGTTTGAGGTATATTATGTATCTAGGATATAGGGTGAGCACGATCATAGGCGCAAACAAGTTTCATAGCATTCTTAAGGTAGGAAGAGGTCCCATGTGGATTCTTCGTCAGGGTATCATGTCCATTTAACTTTATATTCTGTGATTGGTTCAGGGTGGTCAGATACCTGAGTAGTTCTTTGTCCTATGATGACTTCAACGACGAATTCAAGGCCTGTGGGTAATATGATTGGTGGAGGTCTAGGATATGGGCGGTCAGCGAATTGGGGTGGGAATTCATTGTATTCTTTTAGGTATTCTACTTGGAAGACAGGGTGGACACGACTCATGTCAGGGGGGAGTTGGAGTTTGAAGTTTACGGGGAAGGTTTTTTCAATGATGGGGAAGGGTCCGAACCAGTTGTTCGAGAGTTTATTGGACAAGCTGTGTTCGGGTTCACAGCGTTTGGCGGAGAGCCAGACTTTGTCCCCTTTTTTTAATGTCACGTCACGTCTGTGTTTGTTAGTCTTGTTGGCTTGTTGTTCTTGTGTCCGTTCAAGGGCTTCGGTAGCTTCTCTGAGGAGTTTGTTCATTGTTGCTACCCATTCATTGAGAGAAGGGCAGGGGCCCCGGGGTGGAGGGGTTGAGTTGTGAAGGGAGCAAGAAGTCGGAGGGCAAGCGAGGATGGTAGCCGAGGTCGAGGTAGAACGGGGACATACCAGTGGAAGGGCAGACAATGTTGTTATAGGTGATCTCGGCGACTGTGAGCAACTAATCCCAGTCGTGTTGATGTGGATAACAATACTTCCGCAGGATTCTTTGGAGAGTATCGTTCATCTTCTCGGTTTGTCCATCAGTCTGGGGGTGGAATGCAGTGTTATACTTGAGCGTGGTTCTGTAGGATTTAAAGAGGTGTTTCTAGAAATGTGAAAGGAAGCGAGGGTCATGGTTGATGATGATGTTCTCGGGGAGACCGTGATGGCGTGCGACATAGTCAAAGAAGAGAATGGCGACGTCCTTGGCATTGTGCGATGTGGTGCAAGGGATGAAGTGGGCATGTTTCGTCAAGCGACAAATAATGGCATAGGTGCAATCATGTCCACGGTCCGTCTTGGGGGGACCACAGACGAAGTCCATGGAGATGGACTGCCACCACCGGTGGGTGAGGATCGACAATGATTGTAGCTTGCCAGGCTGAGCGCGGTTTGAGGGGTTGACAGCTTGACAGGTGGGGCATGAGCGAATGTAAGCTTTGACGTTGGCAAGTAGGGAAGGCCAGTAGAAGTAACGAGAGATGGTGTCGAAGGTTTTCTGGAACCCGAGGTGTCCCACAGTCTTGGCGTCGTGATGCTCGGCCAAGAGCCGGGTACGGAGGCCACGTGCGTCGGGGATGCAAAGTCGGCGAGTGCCTTTCGTGTCGATGTAAAGAAGTTGGTCGTGAAGGGAGTACTCAGGGACTGGGTCGAGGTCAGGGACTGGGTCGAGGTCACGAAGTTTGTTGTAGATTGTTGAGAAATCCGTGCAAGAGAGGTAGCCTTGGGTGTAGCGGTAGTGGAGTGATGGGAGGAGTTGGATATGAGTCATGGTGGCGTAGACTTTCTCGAAGGGCTTGTGGTCGGGGAGTCGAGAGAGGGCATAAGCGGCATGGTTGCTTTTGTTGAGGGTGTGGCAAATGGTGAATGTGAACTGGGCAAGAAAGTCTAACCAACGGGCTTGGCGCGACGTGATGTCTTTCTTGGTGAGGATAGAGGAAACAATGGTGTTGTCCATGCGGGTGGTGAAGTATTGCCCGTCGAGGTACGGGTGCCAGACTTTGAGGGCGTGGATCACGACGAGGAGTTCCTTCTCGTTGGAGTGGTAGTTCATCTCCGGGGGAAGGAGTTTCTTGCTAGCAAAGGCGATGGGGTACTCGCCGGGCGGAGTCTCCGGGTGGGTGGGGGAGTCTTTGATGGAGGTGTCGCAAAGGAAGTGTTGGGATAGGACGGCTCCAAGGGCGAATTTGGATGCGTCAGTGGTAACGTAGAAATATCGAGAGGGGTCGACGATCATGAAGACGGTGGCCGTGGTGATGGTTTGTTTGAGGAAGTCGAAGGCGTTTTGGCGGCGGGCGTTCCAAGTGAAGGGTTTGTCCTTGCGGGTGAGTTCGTGGAGGGGGTACGAGATGTCGGAGAAGTTGCAGATAAAGGGGCGGTAGTAGTTGGCAAGGCCGATAAATGATCGTAGTTGGAGTAGGGTGTTGGGTGTTGGATGCTCAACGAGGGCAGTGACCTTCGAGGGGTCCATGCGGATACCTTCAGCGGAGACGATGTGGCCAAGGTATTCCACACTTGAAGTGGCAAAGGTGCATTTGCTGAGCTTGGCATAGAATTTTTGCACTCTGCGGATAGAGAGGACTTGGCGGAGATGCTGAAGGTGGGACTCGAAGGTGGGGCTATAAACAAGGATATCATTGAGGTGAACGACGACACAAACTTCGAGGAGGTCGCAAAAGATGTGGTTCATGGTGGATTGGAATATGGCAGGGGCGTTGGTGAGTCCGAAGGGCATCACGAGGAACTTGTAGTGCCCGAGGCGAGAACGAAATGCGATCTTGTGGGTGTCCTCCTCACGTATGTGGATCTGGTGGAAGCCACTGCGGAGGTCAATTTTGGTGAGGTGAAATATTTGGCTCCACGAAGGCGATCAAGAAGCTCCGAGATCCGAGGTAGGGGGTACTTGTTCTTGATCGTGATCCGATTCAAGGCGCGGTAGTCTGTGCACATCCGGAGTTCCGATGTTTCGCCTTTCTTGACGAAAAGGCACCTTGTGCCGAAGGGGAATGAACTTGGCTTAATGAATCCTTTTTCAAGGAGTTCATTGAGTTGCCGCTTCATTTCTTCGGCTTCCGGAACGGAGAGTTGGTACGGAGGGCAGCAAGGTGGAGATTGATCGGGATCCAAATCGATGGTGTGGGATACGCCACAATCCGGAGGTAATCCAGTGGACAAGGACTCGGGGAAAACGTCCTTGAACTCGTTGAGGATGGAGGTGAAGGGGTCGGAGGGGGGGGCTTGGTCGGGTTTGTCCATTGGGAGCAAGTCCTCTGGACGCTCGCGATCAAGGACAAGGCAATAGTAGGTGGAGTCAGCGTATGTGCGAGCCATGCGAAGGAATTGGTGCGCAATGATGGAGCTTGGGGAGGTGGGATAGGGGAGATAGGGAATGTCGATGGTTGTCAGGGGGTTTGGTAAGGAGGAGGAAGTTGGGGTGGAACGAGTATGGCATGTAGCGGTCCAGCGACGGTGTTCCTAAAACGATGTCGCACATTAAGTGCATGACATCGAATGAGACCTGACTGCAAAGGGTTCCGACAGTCATGGTGGTCTCGGGAACTGTGCGGTCTACTGCGACGGCGGTGTCTTTGTCCCCTAAACGAATCGTAATCGGGGAGTCGTAACCGGTAGACATAAGACCGGCTTTTCATACACACACGTTGGTGATGAAGTTATCGGTGGCTCCAATGTCGAGGAGGGCCCGAAACTTAGTCGTAGACGCACCAAGGGTGGCGGCGATGAATGTAAGGTGAAAGCGTGATGAATTGGCGGTGGAGATAATGGTGTTGAGGCGACGTTGTTCATTGCCTAATCAGACAAGCTGATCGAGTCGAGCTTGTTCCTCAACAACATCAGAGAAGGTGACAAAGGATGGATTCGGAAGGAGGTTTGAGGAACATGTGGCAGTGAGGGGGGCGTCAGGCAACGAGGGTTGCGATGCCTGGGGGTTGTACGATGGGATGGGAGGCACCAGAGAGGGGGGGAGAAGCTGTATTGTCGATGCCAAACGGGTCACCGATGGGGTGGAGATCGTCACTGATGGGATGGCCAACAGACTAGTCGTCAATGTCGGGCCGGGTTTGTGGTGATCATGGGGACGGTGTTCAAGTGGAGGATGGGCCAGAAGTGGCAGATGCGAAAGCCGCGGGTTGGGGAGCCGCGGACCTGGGTGCCTGACATGTGAACTGTTTGGCATTTGGACAGCTTGTCTGCTGAAGTCCTAACCGTCGACACCGGAAACATCCACCCTTAGCTTGGAGGTAGGTTCGCTCCTCCGGCGTGAGTTTCGTGAGACGGGTTGGGGGGGTTGTTTATGGGAGGACGGCTGGTGCGTTCTCTCCTTTCCATCCGCATGAGGTGGATGGTAGAGAGTTCGTCGCAGGAGAGCGATGTGGTATCTAGTGGATCGGAGAGGGTGTCAGGGTCGGGAGCAGTAAACTCGTCCGAGGACGTGGTGGAGGTGGTGTCTTCGGAAGCGATGTTGTGGAAGAAGCGAGTGCGAGGAGGGGGCCGATGTAATTGAGGTCTTGTAAGGGGAGAAGATGCGGTCGAGTTGGAGGGCACAAAGTGAGGAGGTCGACGAGGGTCATGGGTGGCTCGCGGACGAGGGCGACCGCTAGGTTTTTGCGGCATACGCGCTTAACGCGGGAGATGAATGCGAAGACGCTGACGATATCGATGGGAATATGTTGACGAAGTGAGCGGACGTATTGTACAAAACGGTCGGTTGGGCCGTTTTGTTGGAGCCGACAGAATTGGTCGATGTAGTCGTCGACCGTTTTCTGTGGACAGAAGGTGGAGGTGATGAGGGTGGCCCATTCAAGGAAGGTGTGAGGTCGAAGATTGGCGTGATGGCTGTTGGTCATTTCAGTGTACCACCAGCGAGCGGCGCTGTCTAGGAGTCTGCTGCCGGCGATGGGGAGCCAGTGGACGACAGGGATGTTGTGGAGGGAGAAGGTTTGTTGAAGTTTGGTGAGAAAGAGGAAGACATCCTCATGGGGTTGGCCTGAGAAGGTGGGAATCTCGTTGGCACGGAAGGACGGAGGGATTTTGCCTTCTCTGGGGGTAGTGGCGGCAAGGGCGTTGAAATCAAGGGTGGGAGAGGAAGAGTCGACCAGGGTGAAATCGTTGGCGGGGTTGGTGGGGATGAGAGGATTGCGGGGGAATAGGGGAAGGGCGGGATACATAGCTTGTGGAATAATCTGAGTATAGGTGGGAAGGGTGCAAGTGATAACGGACGAAGTCAAGATGGATTTTGATTGGGGGGGAATGGTGGACGACTATGTGACGGCGGGGGTTGTCCGCTAGGTGGCTATGGTGGGGGTAGTGGTAGATGAGGGGGGGGTTGTGGATGACTTGCCGGTAGAGAGGGCGGTGGATGTGGGGGAGGAGGTGATTGGTGGAGATGTGGAAGCGGAGGGAGGGGGAAGGGTGGTGGCACCCGAGGTGGGGGAGGGGGACGTGGTGGTGATGACCTGGATAGCGGGGGTTTGATTTTCCATGGCGGTCACATGGGCGGAGATGGTGGAAACGAATGTTTTGATGTCGTCGATGGATGAGTGGAGGGATGTCATCACACGGAGAAGTGCCGCGGGGTCGGTGGCGGCATCGGGTGTTGGTGCTTGCTCGCCTGCAAGGTTGCGGGCGATGCTGTCGACGGAGTCGGTGCGGATGCTGGACATATCAATGCTGGAGGATTGGGCCATGGTGGGGGAGGAAGTGGTGGTAACAGCAGATGAGGTGGAGGCGGCGGGAACAACGGCGGCGTCGGTGGCTGCACGTTGAGAGTTCCTGGTTGTGCGTGTCATGCCCGGGAGGGGGTTCTATTTACACATGTAAAACAACATCCAAAGAAGATAATTTTCAAAAAATAAAAAATTGTAAAAGAGGAATAAAAAAAAAATAATTCCGATTTGAATTATTAAAGTTATTCAAAATTAATTCGAAAATATGCCTTGGAAAGAAATTCAAAAAAGAATCTGAAAGAGGAACTTATGAAACGAAATTTCCTATAAATTTTTGCTCAAAATATCAAAAAATGGAAAAAGGAAATAATTATTTTCGAAGAAAATTCCGATTTGGGTTTTAATTTATTCAAAATGAATTTTGGGGTATAGGAAAACGTGAAAAATTCGAAAAAGGATTTAAGTAATGCTAAAGTATTCCCGAATTTCGAAAAAAGAATTGATCATAAGGCATTTTCAAATTTCAAGAAAAAATTTGAAAAGGGAATTTTATGAATTAAAACATACAAGAAAAATAATTAATTAAAATTATTTTTGAATTTTGAGAAAGAAATATCGAAAAGGAATTTAATTAATTCTAACGTATTTTCAAAATTTTCGAAAAGGAATGAATTAAAAGTAGTTTTGAATTTCAAGGAAATGTCGAAAAAGAATTAATCTGAATTATGAAAAGGAAAGGAGTTTGCAAGGAATATGAGTGTGAGCAATATACATAAAACCAAATTGCGAAATCACACAGCTGCCCAAGTAGTCATGTCCCAAGCAGAGAGTACAAATGCACCGAGAAAACCATCCATATAGAGCAATTCAATGAAGTAATGAGCCAATGTTCAAGCCCGTAGGCCACACCAACACAGTATCCAAAGTCGCTCTGCTCTGTCTGGCGCTCAGCGCCCAGCCTACTATACCTGGCTATCCTACCTACAGCTGGCTCATGCAAAAGGATCACTTCGACTCACGAAGACCAATGTACATGACTGCGAACACCATCGCCGACCTCTCTTCATGTACCAGGTACGTATCTCGTCACCCTCAATCAGACCTTGATTACCCCACACTGGCCTCCTTCCCTGAAGACTACTCAATCGCCTTGCATTACCCCCTGGCGCCCAGCAGCCCGGCTATGGCCGCCTGCGCCCCGCTGCCCTGCAGCGCCCACTTCACCTCTACGCGCCCCGTCAGCGCCCTTGGCATCAGCGCAGCATCAAGCGAGAGCGCAGCAGCACTTCCACATTGCCAGCACTGGCCAAAATGCCTGGCCTGGGCTGCCTCGCTCCTTTTGTGGAAGTGGCAGCCTCCTGGATGCTGCGTGTGGCCTGGCTAGAAGCTTCCAGTAGCTTCCGGTTGGGTCCCAGACCCTGCACCCAGGCCCGAGACTACAGTTGAGGGCCTGGGCCCTTTACAGTTAGGCACCGCCTGAGTCTCTGGACTTGGGCTGTTTGCTGCATCTGTGCAGGGCTCCCAGGCAGGTGCGTTGGCACTACTGCTTTTGCCAAGGCCGAAGGCCTGCTTCCCAATGTATCGGCCCTGCTTTGTGTATGTGTGCCCAGGCGCAACTGTCAAGGCCTGGGTCAACTATATGACGCAGAAATGTGAGGCTCACGCGTCTACCCAACCAACTGGCGTTCTGCGAGAGCCTGAATACCCACATATGGAAATGTCGAATTTTGCCTTTGACGAATATTCAGGCCCGCCTGCACTTAGGGAGGGCACTTTGGCTTGCTGGGGGCCTTAGCCCAGAACAATGTGATGTCTGATAGGGCCCCCTTGAGGGCTTGTTCCTCACAAGTTTTAATTAATTCTAAAATATTTTCCAATTACAAAAATTCCGAAAAAAAAAATAATTAGGAATGTTTTTGAATTACAAAAAGGAAATCTGTAGCTCAGTGGTTAGAGCACCGGTTGGAAATGCGCATTGTGGTATGAGGTTGCGGGTTCAAAACTCCGCAGCCTTGCGCATGGACACCGGCAGGGCGTTAGAATGACGCACGGCTGGAACTCCCCTGGGCTGACGCATGGTACTATTACAGACACGGCCTGCGCACCACCCAGGGGACTGTCCATGGTGTTGTATGTTGGGTCCTGGCCTGTGAGGGGTTTGCCTGATACAGTTAGCAGTGAAATGAGGATGCAGGTACGGGTTTGTGGTTAGACTGCTCATGTGTGTTGGTTACCTTAGGCTCTGCTTTGGGGGGGGCAAGGACCTTAGGTGGGATGGGGTCCCGTTTGGGGGGAGGGTTGGCTTGGGACAAGCTCTGCTGGAGGATATCGGTGGGGAACCTACAGTAGGGGATTGTCTTAAGGGATCCCGGTAGGAGGGGTGTTAGTAGA